AGCTTTGACATCTCAGGTATGATCATGGAGAGAAAGGTACCAATCCAAATGTTGACACCCTGCACTTACTATAACACATACCGTCTTACACTGCAGATTGAGCGAGCCTGTCAGTCACAGGATACACTTTATTGAAATACACTATTGGTTTCATAAAATTCCTTAACTGCATTGCATTCTGAATTTTTTTGTTTCAATCGATTATTAGTGCAGTTTTGAAAGTCATTTTTAAAACCATAGCATCACCAGTCATTGGAAAGTGCTTGTTCTTGTTTGCTGCTTGAACTTCGTGTGTTATTTCAACTTTGGCTGTTTCTTTGCTTGTTTTTTAGAAGGCATTTTATGATGCCATGCAAGAGACACTAGAAAGGGATAGCTGACAAGGAAAAAATTAAAAATTGGATAAAAAGTAAATGAATAATGTCATATTACTAAAAAGATGAGAGGCTAATTTGTGCCGACTTTTTGCTAATTTTGTTCAAGCCTCAAAATGAGGAGCTGTCACCCGTTCTGTGTAGCACTGATGACAGTGCCAATGATCCATGAAATAAGCTGCCGCTGGCTTTGTTCTGATAAGAATGAACAAATCTGCACAATGTTCAGCTCCCAGAATCTCATTTTCATACTTGCATGCAGGCTAAAAGAAATAAGCTGTTTGCAGGCTTGATTAATCAGACATTGGAGGGGTTTTTGTCTCTTTGATCTCTTTCGTCTCCTAGGTAACTTGCTTGACATTAATGTTGAGCTTGAGTAAAGACAATCAGGAATTGTCGACTAAACTGATATAAAAATTAAAGACCTTAACACTTTAAGTACTCCAGTAATGGTTCCGCTTTACTTCAGAAAACATCTGTTTTCATTTAATTAAAGAACAAAAGGGAATGGCATAAATATTTTTCATAGAGACCTATTATTGCATAAAAAGTTAAAGTATGATAATTGGTATTTTTAAATAAGTGCCTTGAAAGTGTTCAAAAGGGAGCAAAACTTCATAAATCTGTTACAAGCCAGTAATTTTGAGATGAGTAAAATATTTTATGAAACGGATAAGAAGTTTATAGTTGTGCTAGATTAAGCTGTTTGAATCAGATGTTTCAAATGATTCTCAACAAACTTTACATGACAACATTTGGCAAGAAAAACTAACTTTATTTTGAAGTTTGTCTTTTAAAAATCTGTACTATAAGGATGTGCCATTATATCTATTTTACAACCCAATATGATTTACACATGCTAAACCTGTAAAATTGAAAGGAATTAAAAAAATGTCGCCGTGCATTTGCTTGAGGTTATGCAGACGCTTTTACAAATCTTCCAAGTGGCTGTAAAGATGAATGCCTCAAGGGTCCAGCCAGGGCCCTGCTTTTCCAACCAGCTAAAGCCCTTATCTTAAATCCAAGCAAAGTACCATTAATCTTTTTGAAAGACCTTTTATGGCTTTTAATATATCCCAAATTAGAACATTTTACACCCTTGGTTCCTGAAATATGGTGATAAAAAGCCTTTAGAGCTTAATTTTCCTTACCGCATGCTCTGACCAATTTGCAGTTCTTTGTGATAATGTTTAGACACCTTAATTAAAATGCAGCAAAATATTGGATGGTCTATATGGAAAATGCTGATACTTTGGCTACACGTACAAGAAAATCTGTATGTATTTTTATTCATTTAAAAATATTTCTTCCCACATTGTGTTGCTGTAGTTATCTGATGACCCAAAACAGTCTTTTTAATACAGAAACCATTGACCAAGCTTTTGTGATGTTTACATTGAGTAGGAAGATGCATTTTTCTTTTTATGGAAGCAAAAGGGTGATTCTTGTCAGCTTATTTTATTTGTTTGTAATACTGAAACAGCATGTCTTTTGTATTCTGGAACTTGAGTTAGTCATCTTGAATGGGAAACTGCATTTCTTCTTAACCGTCTCTTTTATTGGAGGCCTTATTATCCTATTATATTTCCAGATATGTCTTATTCTTTTTTCTTCCTCTACAAAACAAGTGAAACACATTCATCTTAAGCATGTGAGCACGCAAAAAGGTTATGACTTTCTATCATCATTACAAACTAAAAGGTGTTTTCTGTAAAAAAAATACATAAACCAGATTTGTTTAACGTTTATCAGTTGATAAACATTCCATTTATTGTAGCCCATCGTAAAATAACAGAAATGTGTGTTTTATGGGAACAACTGTATTGTTTGAAGGTGTTGCTACGCACCCACTAGTCTATTTAGTTTACAAGTGATAGAGCCCTCACTTGTGAATACTTGCTTAATGCATTCTAATGAATTATTTTTAACAAGTTTATACTGTGTCTTAGGGACATACGCTAACCCTTTACTCTGGCACTGGTTATGCTGGGTTTGGCCTTAGCCTTGCTGGAACACTAAGGGCATTTCCATTCTTCAAGTATATGACATGTCAGGGTGAAGAGCCCACTGAAGTCAAGGACTGCACATCCAGACACTTGGAGATGCTTCTTGGTTTGTCTGTTCCAAATCCAGGAAACCCGTACTGGGGAATTTCAATAAGTAAACATGTAAAGCTTAATACACCACAGTTTTAGAGAATAATTTGCTTACATGGTTAATGGTATATGGCAGAAATATTTCAGATTGCTTTTGTTTCTTAGCCAAACTATAGGCTTACTTTAAATAGGATACACTATCTTTTTGCATTTATGTATATGATACAGAAGTGGGGTTAATGAAAAACTACAGATTTTTTTTAACTACAGATTGTTTTACCTTTGGGGCATAGGGCATAGAAAAGAGATTGTCTCATCCATATGAGTGTGGACGGCCTGTTGCACATCATAAACATGGGTCATAAGCTGTGTTTTATGGCAGAAGACAGCTTCTTGGGTGCACACACTGTTGCCCTAATGTTGTCCAGCCCCTTGCATTTATGGTGCCATCTGAGTGTTTCTGACCAGTGGGCCATGAACAGTGTGTGTCACTTCAGGACTAAGAATTTAAGAGCCAGTGTGAAGCCCTCCAGTTCTCCGGCCCGGGTGAGCCTGAAGGTCACATGTGGAAATGCCGGCGTCTTGCGTTCTCGAAGTGAATGAGGTAAAAGCTCAGCCAGTGAGATTTGGGAGTTTGACACTGCACTGTTGAGTAGCTTCACCCTGCAGGTGCTAACTTGATTCTTTGCGTGACAGACAAGTGAGCAGTTTTTCAGTGGATAGGAATTCCATCCTGTTGAAAAATGATGCCCCAGCATCCTCCCAGAGTTTCACTTTCCCCTGAGATGATAATGCTACAGCCCTTTGATTCTTAGCCTTGTTTTGGTTGACTTAGGTGAACTTTCTGTGATAAAGAGCTGGGAACAAAAAGAACCAAAAGAACAAAGCCAGCATTGAAGCAGTCATGCCTCATCCCTATTTGCACTTGGATAGCAAGCTGTGTTTGATTTGGGACTGGGTCTCCAGCACCTACAACAGTGCCTGGCAAACTGTACATCTGTGCCTTCATAACGTTTGTGGGATAAAAATTCTCCCTACGTGAAAGATGACTGCAGTAGTGCTGCTGACGTTACTCTGAGTGTTGAGAAGATGCTGAGGTTGATGATTTCTCCAGCGGTCTCTTAAGTCACAGTCATTCTTCTCTTCAGTGACTGTCCTGTTGAAGCACCTTGGTTTGTTAGCTTACTTCCATTTGCATATTCATCCTTGCCTGAACTGAAAAGAAAGATCTGTTTTTCTCTCATTTGTAAAGTCTACTCAGTGCTTGATTACCCCTTGTCTCTTTTGCCCTAAAAAAAAACTATTCTCCAAGAAGAGCTGGAAGACACATCGAGCATGCCAGACCTTGTTGTTCTAATTGGCTTCTTTGCTTGCACATGTGTTCACAGCCTTTTTCCATGCCTTCCTGTTGGCAAGCAGATCTCTAAAACTTAGGCTTTGATGCACAGACCTCAGACTAGTCGTTTCATCTCTTCCACAAATCTGCTTGTCTATTAATATACATCAGGTTGAACAAAGGAGTAGAAAAGGCAGGAAAAACCAGAAAAACTTTTAACTTTCATTGTTTCAGTTGTGTCCTTACTGGATCAGTATAAGCCATCTGTTATAGTTGGGTATTTTAATATAAGAGCTCATAGAAACTAGAAGGTATCAGCGTCCCTGTCTTGGAGATACTTGCCAGTGAAACAGTTCTGTAGCTAGAAAAGAGCTGGAGAGATGCAGAGGCAAGGATGTTACAGACTAAATTAAAGATAGGGGCTGGGGATTTAGCTCAGCGGCACAGTGCCTGCCTGGCAAGCACAAGGTTGTGAGTTCGATTCCCGGTACCGGAAAACAAAACCAAAAAAAAAAGATCACTTCTTAGATGGGGTGTTCTTTTAGAACAGACCTGGTAGGATTTCTGATTGCAGGTCAGGGGCCCCTGAAAAAAGGGCCCCACCTAGGGAACACCTGAGTCCTGCAGTCCAGCCTTTTCATGTTCTGGGACCTTTTATACCCTTTTCTCTGCCAGAGACTGAAACGCTCTTCCTCTCCATGCACAGTGCATTTATGAAGTAGTAATTAGCGTTTCCATGTTTTATTAATCCCATCTGTAACTGCCAATCAGAGCCTCTGATCACATGAGATAACTGGTGTGACCATACTGAGTTGCTATAATTCTAGCCCAAAGCAGAGAAAGTTGATGTCTCTGTCAGTCTGTGCAGCCTTATCAGGGATTCCTGTTCAGCCTATTGAAATGCTGGGATAGCTTGAAGAACCTCATTACTACCTTAGTGGACCCTCGAGGGGCCTCACTTTGGAAAGGATTTCCATCCAGGAGATGGTTCAACAAGGGTAGAAGGTCTTTGGGGAGGGGAAGGAAATACGGGCCACATCTGAGTGTTGATTATACTTTGTTCAAGAAGCATGAGCATAGAATTTCTGATCCCAGGCATGGCTTTCTTAAAACTTCTCAAGTTAAGTGTCATTATAATTCTGTATTATCTGGAATACTAGTTTTCACATTTTTTTTCTCCTTTGTAATTCTTAGCTTGGTGTACAAATTGCCAAAGCAATTGCCTGCCACAAGTTTGTAAAAGCCAAAAAGGAGGTTGAAAACTCGCAGGCTGCTCGGAAAAAGAAGAAACTCGCGTGGGGGTAAGTTTCCGTAAGACTTTCCAGTAGTGATTCTGCTAACTTCGTAGGAATTTCAGACAGCCTCATATATTTGATGAGCCCAGTTTGTTGGTAACTTTTATTTTACTCTGTCTCTTTGTGTATAAGATTATAAATATGGAGCCATTTTTTCATCCTGTTGTTTATTTTGTATGCAGTGGAGTGTGGAATTGTTTTGCTTTGGTCACATAGTCAACATGCACTTTAGCAAAGTTTTAATTTTATTTTAGAAATAAATTGAGATTTTCATGTTTTCATTTCAGGTTTGAAGCAAAGAAGAGATGGGAAACCAAAAGCAACATGGGATATATGTAACGGGACAGAATTCTTCAAGACACATGTAGACTTGTGTGCTTAATTTACAGAAAAGATTCTTCTGCTTAGGTTAAATATATTAGGAAATTGATAGAAGTAGAAAAAAGTAAGCATAAATCTTGGGAGTTATCAACTCTTCAGTTTTTTTCTAAGAAGTTCATTCTGTTGAAATAAATGGAATGAGGTATTTTGTTATTTATGTCAGAAATCTAAGCGCACATACAGGAAGAGGAGATAGGATTTTATTTATTTGTATAGACCTATAGTATAAAATCAATTTTGCTTTTTATCTGTTCGGTATAGCATAACCATGATCCTTGTACTTTCTTATCTGTTCTTGGCATAACTGTAGTTTTTCTGGAATTATGTTTTTAAGATTGGCTTTTGTTAAAAATGGATTAGTCATAAGTGCAAAAAAGTCTCAGTTGATGCCGTCTTTCCAAATGACTGTAATTATCTTAATGCTATAAAAACAATTATTGATTCTTTATTGGTAGCAATGGCATTGTTATTTCATAGTCCAATGTAAAAGCAATTGATTAATTTTTGTGTACCTTCAGATGAAATGATTACAATGAAAAAAGGACAAAATAGAGTAATTGGGGGCTGATTTAAATTCAGCTCTGTCTAGAATGTCTTCCTGTATCTCTCAGCCATATCAGCCTTTAAATTATGGGATGGTTCTTAGAAGAAAAAGTGCTGTGACTATTAAACAGACAGTCATAACCCAGGGTAACTGAATCATCTAAGAACTGGTTTGTTTTACTATTATTCCCAGTTACTCCTTAAAAAATTGAATGAAATATTAATAAAGATAAGAAAAAAAGATTGAATTAAGGCTCATAAAGAGAGCCATGGTACCGCAGAAGTAGTTTCCATCGGGTGTGTGTTTCATAGTGCTAATGGTAAATTGCTTTGAGAAATAGTGTGACGAGCTGGTAAGTAGGATCACAGCTGGGTAGTATGAAAAATGAGTCATGATTCTAATTTGTTATTTTTAGACTTAAAATACTAATGCAGTTTTATTTATGGCAATATTTAAATTTTTTCTGTGTTCTAGAGTGAGTGAATGATTAATTGCTATTTAAAAGTCCAGGAGTCGTGTCTTGCTTCCATTTAGGTGAGAAAACCCAGAGTAGAGAAACTCTGTGTAGCTGATAGAGGAACGACTGTGTAGCTCCTAACTTATCACACAGCTACCCAGACCAAATACTGGAAACCTGTGTCTTTTATAATTTAAAATCCATTGCCCTGTTCTGTAGCTGTTCTCTTATGCTATCTGTCTACTACTGTATCCCACTTCAGACCCCGGCTAGGTTACTACAGACTTGTACAGGAACCTCTCCTTTATAAATCCATTGTGGGGAAGGATCCACTGTACAATACACTGCTTTTGTCTGAAGTATGAAAAGGGTTACATTTGAGTAGATGAGTGCTGTACATATCCTCATACGTGGAAGCATTTCCTTCCCTTGGGCCTCTGCCTCCTTTTTGTTTTCTCCTATATGCATGTCCTTAGGCATTTAGTGACGGCTGCAGGCATGTTGCCCTTTACCTGCTGAGGCCTTGCCAGTGTGGCCTCTTGTAGTGTATGTCGGATTAGGAAGCCTCTGACTCAAGTCCAGCCACCAGAGCCCTTCACTTCACTGGGTGCCAGCAGGTACCCCTCAGGGCCTCACTCAGGGTCCTTGTGTCCATGGGACCATTTCAACTGAGTGGAAGGCAGTGCAGTGGGACAGATGTAGTCCAGGGCCTCATTGAGGAGGAAAGCCACGTCTCCTAAGTCTGTATCCTCTCCTCTCTCCTACCTTTTGTAGGAGCATGGGCTGTGTGCAAAGCTTCCAAATACACTGGTACAGCCAAAGAGTGGGTAGGAAGGAGGATTTGGAGGTGAGGAAGGAGGTGGGTATCTTGGGCTGACCCTGCTAGCACCTTATTTGGGAATAGCTTTGCTTGATCAACTTTAATGCAAATTAGACATTTTACTCATCAAAGCAGTAAAATTGGAGCTTTATTCCTAGAGCATCCTTGTTGCCCAAAGAGTATAGTCATTTGACTTCTCCGTTCTTGTCACATCAAAATAAAGATTCTTCTTGGATCAGTAATAACTGCAGTTCCTGAAGCTCCAGTATGTGCACTTACCACCAGAATGCTTGAATTAGATTAGTGATGTAAATGTCAGTTATTGTTAAGATTAATATGTTTTAGGCCATCGGTATAGCATTAATGTAACTGTGATTTATTGTTTAAGTACTTTAGGCTAAAAGAGCTTACTAGAGAACAGTAATTTTGAGCTTTAGAGCATTGGTTCTGAGAAGTAAAGTTGGTGGTGCATTCTTGTTTAGCAGCCTCAGGTTGTTTCTGATTTTCAGCAGAGCAGTCTGTTTCTTTCACCAAAAGGAGAGTTTGAACATATAATCTCAGGCTTGCTATAATTAGTTCTGATGACAGAGTTAACTGCCTCAGCCAAGACTATAAATCAGTAGTTAAACAGGTTTCTGCAACTGATCATAAATCCTGAACTCCATATTTTGAACATTAATTTTTGGAGACAGGTAAGGGAGGGGCAGGCTGAAAACAGAAACAAAATGTTATCTGAACATTAGATTTACACTTAAAATCTCACATTTAAAATCTTTCTGCCTTTTGTCTAAAATGTTATCTGTTAAATATTTTAATAACTCAGTTTCTTAACTGATCAAGTATGAATCTAATTTCTAAAGTATATAACTTAAGAAATGTCTTAAATTCTCATTTGTTAGGTAAGGATTAATACTACTATTTTAGAAATAATATGTCTTACTATAAACATTGTATGAGGCCAGTCTTTAAATAAGATGCCAATTATGCATTATTTTTTATAGAGATAAAAGTGTGGGGAAACAAGCTGATGTTCTGTCAGGTTTCATTCTGGGAAATAAATGTAAGTAAAACCTAGTCATCAAATTCAGAACCAACTGAGACAATTCAAGTTTCTGTGCTGGCAGAAGTTGCTTTTTTTTTAGTATCTGGCAGGGTTACAAATGCTTTGCATGTCAATTTAATATTTTTTCAAGCCAGCTGTTTATTCATTGGCTTAAAATTTACACTCTACTAAAGTCTTCGCTCTGACTTTCATGAAACAAATAGTAATATTTGGACAAAATATATACATGAAAATCTTTTTCCAAAACCAAGTGTAGATTGGCATTTGTGGCATCAGTGCCCTCTAACCTGGTACCAGACCTGCAAGTTCTTTGTGAGGTGAAAGGCTTTAGAAAAGTGTGCTTTAGTTACTATTTTTTAAATGGTACTGGGGCTTGAACCCAGGGCCACATGCGTACTACGTAAGTGCTGAACCCGGAGCTACATTCCCACTGCTTTATTGTTTAACTTCGTTTTAAGACAGTCTCACTAGGTGGTGTAGGCTGTCTTCATACTTAAGCTCCTCCTGCCTGGCTTTCCTAGTAGTTGGAATTACAGATCAACACCACCGTGCCTGACTCAAGTACTTTAGTTATGAAGTAATCAGAACCTCTTTCTAGGTTTTCAAACTTAAATTAGTGAGAGTGGAGGATGTGGTAGAGTAAGTTCCCATGAACTGCTGAGACATTTGATCACTACTGAGACGGTGAGACCCATTTTCCGGTGTTGAGGCTGAGGGGTTCTGTGCATTTTGATAAAGTGAGCAGAACTGCATTCTTTAGTCATCATTATTTTATCTTCCCACCAAACTACTCACTTTGGAAGGAAAAAACCTCTGCACACATTTCCTGGTGTCACGGCTGTCATCAGCATAGACTTGACTGGGAAAAGGATTCTTGACCAGTAAGGAATAAAGAGCAAGACACCACGGGGCGAGTACAGATGGTCAGGAAGAGACTCTGGTGTTAGAATGAAATGTGCTGCCTGTCCCACAGGCCCTCCTCTGCTCTTTGCTGGGTATTCTGGGGGCACGTACTGCACATTTGGCCAAGGTAGCCTCAAGTACAGCGGTGCCATCCGAGCCACTTACTGCCGCTCTGGCTGTGGGGGTTTTGATCCCTGGAACACAGCTGCAGCCTTTGATGGGGGCAGTTTATGAAATGCCATGCTGTACACTAGTTTTCAGATCTGCTTGTAAAATCAAGATGTAGCTGAGGCATGATGCATAATTACATTTTTATTAGTATTAGTAATCCCTTTTTAAATTCAAGTAGAAAAAGCATAAAAATTTTCCAAACAAACAAAGAGGGCTTTGTTTGTTTCTTTTTTGGCTAGAGTCTTTCTGGGTAGCCCAGTCTGACCTCCAACTCAGTATCCTCCTGCCTCAGCCTCCCAAGTGTGTACAGTACAGGCAGGTGCCACTGCCTCTGGTCACCCCTCCTTGCTAAAGTGGCATTTTAAAGAAATTTATGTTTAGTACAGTATACGACTTTTATGTACAGATCAGATTTCTCAAGGGATAAGAGAATACCCAGGCATGAAAGGGGAAGGGAAGGCAGTGTCTCAAGAGTAGTCTGAGCCTCTAAGTGCTCCTATGCGGGGTTTCCCCTGCTACCCCTGCTGGCACCACTCTGCCAGTTGCAGCCTGGCCCGTGGGCTGCCTCCTGCTGAATCGCTGCAGGGGTCCTGCTGTGCGACAGGCCTGGAATGAGGTGATCTTCCCACCTCTTATTTCTGAAGGGTGTGTCTGTCCAGTTATTACTTGTTCATTGAACCTAGAGTCTTAGAAACCAGCAGCTACAGTACAAGCTGTAATTATTGATGTCTGTTTCATATTCTTCTGTAAGCTCTGGCATTTGGTCAGGAAGTTAATATATCACTTCATCTTCAGGCTGAATGTGTCTCAGCTATCAAAGTTTTATTGTTTGATAGATAGCATACAATTATGACTGCTCAGGAAAAAATATTTTCATTTATAAAGTGAGTGATACTAGAAGAAGTAATTATGGATGTTACAAGGAAGAGTGAAACAATGACGCTTTGACTTTCTTGGAATTCCTCCCTACATACTCTCTGGGAGACATTTATTGAACACATATATGTCAGATATTGAACTAGCTGGCATGTAAAGATGAATAAGCCTATTTAATGGGAAATATATGTAAATTACTTTTAGACACTTGATTTCTATATGGATTATTGGAAGATCAGTGACTTTGTTTTGCTGAACATACGAACTAATCTAAAGTGGGCATCTACAGGGCACTGAATTTCTTAACTGTGCTGTTAGCTGCTGCAGTCTAGCTTAGTGACTGACCCTGACTTCTGCCCATTTCCTGCGCCCTCTCTAGGGTAGGGCTCACTGACACAGTGTGACTCAGAAATGAATGTGGCTATTTGTTCCGTACGTGACTTAGTCATTTGTAAAGTTTTCCTTACACTGTATCAATGTGCCTTTGTATTAGAAAGATGAACATCACATTGCCTGCCCAGATTGGGGAAATGCTGGCTACTGCTATAAATGTGCCCCCCAGAATACTGTGACTCAAGCACAGAAGTTCATTCACAGGACAAAGGCTAACCCAACACCAGGAGCCTCTGCTGCATCAGTCACTGCAGGACTCAGGCCAACTGGCTGTGCCTTACATTCCTGGTATTCCTGGGCATTCCCACACAGTCAAGTGGAAGAGAAATGAGCAGTCGTGGAAGTTATGGGCCTGGCCCGGAAGTGGAACTCATTACTCCTTGTGCACTGGCAAGAATTTCATCATTTCAGCACACCTCACTGCAAGGGAGGTGAGAAAACTAGACTAGCTGTTCCCAGGAAGAAGAGGAAA